GTGGTCAAGCCTCAAAGTCAGGGCGATAAAATTAACTTTTATCATCTGCCATTGGCTAGTGACCTCCAAAAATTTACCGGCCAAACATATTTTTCACCAGCCAAATAAAAAAATCGTGCCTTGTTTGACTAAAAATAGTTACCTTACATTTTTCGTATGAAAATCCAACTTTAGGAAAATCCAACCCTGTCCTCTGTGTTTCTTTGGCGTGCAAAGGCTGCAGCTCATCGTGTTGGTGTGGGGGTCGTAGGTCAACCATGACTGCGGCTGGCCCGCGTTGTCTAGTTTCCATTTTTCAATAAAATGCCGTGTGACATTTGTACTCCGTTTAACTGTCTGTTCTTCCTGTCCAAATCCAACATGTTCATCTTCGTTTTTCTTCTTCTGGCGGTGGCTTCACGGCAGAAATGTGTCGCCACATCTTGCTCAGAAGTTACCTAGAATGCCCAGGGTTCCGGTAGCTGACGTCATGCATTCCCGGCACACGTACAATAAGCCGCGAGGGTCAAAATGGTCTGACACAGCTGGTAGAAATGGTCGAAGCACATAAAAAACCCCACATGCAATTCAAAATTTTCCATCGGCCACTGGCGGGTGTGTGTTTTTGTTTTACATGCCAAACTCATTTTTTACCCGCCATTGGCGCTTGGCGGGTGTTAATTTTACGCCCTGCTCAAAGTTCACTGTGACCTTGCTTCTATCTCATTTTTCCCCCAGGATGTTATAGAGCAGCACCACCCGCCCTCTCTCCTCCACCACCACCACCACATGGTTTTATCTCACGGTTTTGGCCAAAACTCAAGAATTCTTACGCTAATTATGAAAAAATGTCAAACAAATGTCTAATTGGATAAAATAATAAAGTGATGACATTTTGTATCCAAAAGGTCAAAGGTCAACTTCACTGTGACATCATCATGTTCTGCATAAAACTCCTCTGGCCATTATTTAACATCACAGAAGGGGAGACATTTGGTCAGATACTGAATTGGTGACTCTAATCTTGAAACTGTGCTGGTTGTATAGATCTTCTGTGTGTGAAGCATCCATGTTTTCACTGACATGATGTAATCTGTCAGAGAAACCTGACGATGCAATTGCAGGGCGGTAATTCTTGTTTACATCTGGATACAACCTGGATTCACCTCTAAAGAGCCGCCAGCAAAGAGTGCAAAGCCTGAATTTTGAAGTTCTATCCAAACGTGTCACTTTTATTGGCGTCAAAGTAATCTGCACACCACCTTCCTCTCTCCTCCATCCTCCTCCTCCTCCTCAGCAGCCTGTCATCGGCAGTCAATTACGTCACATTTTCTCCTCAGAGATCAGAGCAGAGATGCAGCAGACAGGTGAGGGGGTGATGTATCATCAAACTGAAAACTGTGGCACAAACACACTCTGTCTCTCCTCTCTTCTTGTTGTCGGAGTGAGAATAAGGCTTGTTAGCATTCATGTGTTGCGTTCCTGGTCTCTCACATGTAGCAGCGTCCTCCATTATTGAGCAGTTGTAAATGCTTTGAAGTTGCTGTTTGGGGAGTTTTTGTTCCAAAGAAGGGCAGGAGCAGGAGCGTGCGTCTCTGAAAGGCAGAAATCTCAGCAGCTGGCCCAGTAATTGCTGTGTCGTATTGATCAACATCCTTTTCCCTGATATTTTTCTTTAAACTGTTGCTCTGTGTGATTCTTCTCCTGGGAGCTTAAAAATGATTCAGCCGACAGAACAGATAAGATTTGCAGCGAATAAAGGCAGAGCTGCAGCAGCGAGCACCATCAGCCGGCGCTGCTCTGTCATTGAAAACAAGGTCAAGGTGACGGAGAATCCAATTGACGCTCGGCTCAACCCCTCCGATTCCCCCGGGATGTTGTAGAGCAGCACCGCCCGCCCTCTCTCCTCCACCACCACCACATGGTTCCACCACAGGCTCAGGCTCACATCTCATTAGCATTTGACCGCGTGGGCAAAGCAAAGCTGCTTCATCTAATGCATTTAACTGTGAGAATATATTGTGCTTAATTTAATTAATGTGTTGGTGTGTGTCTGCGGACAGATAACGTTTAAACAATTTCACAGCAGCATCAGAATCAAAGGGGTTTGTTAAAAACTGAGTGTATTGTTAGTTTTAATCAGAAGTTTTTGAAATGTCCCATATTAAACATGAAGCCTCTGTTCTGTAAAAGCATTAACTCACCACAGAAAAATACGAACTGAATGATTTCCGCTGATACGACACGTGGTTTCACATCCTCTTTAATAAAGGGAGACAAGAGGGGAGTTATTCAGTGTAAATAAAAGGCCTGTACTGGACGGGTCTGATGATAATTTGTGCTGTAAATGACAAAAGAAACTGCACGAACAGTTTAAGATAATTTGGAAAATGTTTTGGACAGCTGTGAGAAACAATTTTAGGGATGATCCTGGCAACTAATTTCCCTGTCGACAAAACGAAAATTTTAATTAAAGCCTCAGTGTGTAAAAATGGTGAGTAACAGTAACATCAGCGGTCAAATTCTAGATTGCAGCGCTCACTCACGCTCACTCACCCCTCCCGTCGGGCAAGTGACGGTTGCCTCATAGGACAAAAAGCCTTGCGCAGACAGCGGAGTTTTTCGAGTTTTTCAGGAGTATCTAGCGACGAGGTGAATATTTATTTAGGAATCTAAACCATGTTACGATATGTTATAGCTTACCAGTGAGATATAGGTTATCTGTGAGATATATGTTAGGAGTGTTTTATTTCTAATTGTTTTGGTAACACGAGCAAACATTAGCACAGTAATGCTAAAATAACACGTTTTATGTGATAGTCACGGCACAGTGCGGCAAATATAGGTTGGTAGGATTATAATATATGTGTTTCCAGAGTGTTCTTCCACAGGACACAGGGAGATGAGGAAGGGGGAGAGGATGAAGACCAGGGAGAGGAAGGGGGCGTGGGGGTAGAAGCGGTGCAGGCGAGGAGGTGTGTCTCGGCTACCCAGAGGGAAGAGGAGGAGGAGAGGGTGGCAGCCTTCGCAGCAGCACGAGAGGAATCAACAGATTAGGCTGTAGGCTAGGCTAACCATTTAGCTGTAGCTCTGGGATAACGTTAGCCAAGGCTAGGATAACGTTAGCACGTAAACGTAGCCGTCACTCGAACTTAGACGAGAGGGAAAAGTAGTTGCAAACATGAAGCCAGAATGATTTTAAATTATCAGATTGAATTACCTGTCTAGCAGAAAGCAGGCAACCTCCACATCCTTTGTGAAATCCTTCTCCTTCAGGAGTTCTTTCCACCTGGAATAAGCAACGCCAATATTCACTCGCGTTTTGTCCCGTCCTCGCTTATCTGATCTTTTTCTTTTATTTGGTGGCGTGGTTTCCCCCTTACGGGGCAAAACACATGTATGGTCCTCCATTTGAAGTGCGACAGAATCATAAAAGTACAAAGCAGGTTCACGCAGAAGCGCCCCGGATTGATCTTCACCTTAACCGTCTCCAGTGACGGCAAGTTCTAGGTAAACGCGAAAGGCGAAGCGCGTATATCCCTTTCGGCCACTGTATTCAAATATGGCGACGCAAGAGGGCAGCCTCCAGCAGACCGCACCCTGCCTGTGTATATATAGAGAAATCATTCTAAGCCTATGAGAAAGCTTCCATTTGTATGTGAATTGCATTACACTTTAATAAATATATATTTATGAAAGCAATAGTTGATATTTGCTAATAAACAACCACGTAAATTACACATTGTAACTTTAAGGCTAGTCGACTGGTCTAAAAAGAGGGAAACACTCTCTTTTAAGCCTTTAATCACAACCCTCAACAACCATGTTGGATTTTAAATGCCGCTGAAGTACGAGACACTTTGCACCGTGCGGTATCAATGTGAACGTGAACATTCAGGCTCAACATATTGCATTAACTTCCTGAAGCTTTTACCTTCTACAGAATTCAGTGGAAGCAAATCTTGCGAGGACTGTTCATTTGGTGTGCCGTTGGAATAGATATACTATTCGGTTATTATTTGATCCACAGACGGAGGGCACACAGGGAGCAGGAGAACAGCAGGTGCAGTGAAAGTGGACTGGATCTTAAGTTTGCTGTCACTCACAAACAGCTGCTCCTCTCATCCATCTATCTGATCTGATCAGCTCTGCTTGGATGGACTGATCAGTTATCCACCCCATGATTTGAAACTTCACAAACTGCTGCTGAGGGGTTAAAAAAAGAAGAGTTCCATCTGTGTAGTGTTCTTTCAAGTTTGTGGAAACATTTTGTGTTTGTCCCTTTTCTGTTTCAACCATCACTGTCCTCATGCACAAAGCCAGCTCCTAAAAGAAGCAGAAAAAATAACTTGACTGGTCTGAACAGAGCTCTGACCTCAGCCCCATCCAACACCTCTGGGATGAACTGGAACACTGACTGTGAGTCAGACCTGATCAACCAGCATCAGTGTTGAACCTCACTGATGCTCTTGTGTCTGAACGGGATCAAATCTCTGCAGCCAGATTCCAAAATCTGATGGAAGGACTGAAACTGGGAGAGTGGAGGAGATTAATGTTCATGGTGTTAGAATCACATGTTCATTCACCACATGTGGGAATGTTTGGGTGTCTATGTACTTTTGTCCATACGCGTCAGTGTGGATCTGCTGCAGCAGTTTGAAAACAATCTGTAGCAGCTTCTTGTCTGAAATCATTTTTTAATTTTGTTTTACATCTGTTGCAGATGTTGAGAAAATATGTCGGAATATTCATGACTAACAGTTGTGAAATATGCGGCACAATGGTTGTGAATCTGACATTTGGAATTATCATTTTAGCCTTGATAATGCAGCCCCACATTTGAAGCATTTAGCTGATGTGTATTCAGAGCAGCTTAGAGTAAGCTTTAAATCATGGATCACCCACATTATAAGCAACACATTACAAAGGTTAAAGCCGTATCGCCACGGCAACAAATGTATAAGCGTGCGTCCTCTGAATGTCTCACAGAGAAATAAAAGACAGTTTTTTTCTTCCTACAGTGAGACTCTGACTGAGAGGCCAACAGCTGAGAGACGTTTGACTGCATGAAGAGGCCGAGTGACGGGACCCTGGTCCTCACCTAGACCCCTCCCACGACCCCCCCACTGCCTGGACATGGTGAGCCTCCTGTTCATCTCTGCTCTTTGTTCATGTTGTGTGTTTTTAGCCCCTAATGGACTCAAACTGAGTCATGTGTGGTGTGTTCTCAAACCCTGATCATATTGGTGTTCACATTAGATAAATTGTCTTGTGAGTGGCAGCAGACACAAGTAGGAAGAGGTGAAAATACAGTTGGAAGTAAACAAATCTGTTTCTCAGAGACGGGTAACATAAAAAAACAGATTGATTAGCTGGTGAGTGTGTATTCCTGGTCATTCAAAATGTTGACTTCGTTGGTTAGGCTTCACAAACTGTAGCCATGGTTTCCTTTTTGTCCAAAACAATTAAGCTGATTTTGTTTGGAGCTCTCTGGCACCTGAAGAGTTTGACTGTCTGTCAAACGAAACCGTATATTGTAGAGATATTGGACTGTTTCAGGCAGCAGGATCACAAGTTCTGTACCATGTATAAAATGGCTATATCGCGAACATCGAGTATAAATGGTCATGTCCTTTTTTTTTTTTTTTTAAAGCCACCGGCATGAGACTCACTTGGCATTTCGGTTCTCTCGCTGTCACCGTCTCACAGACACACAAACAAAGAAAGACTCACAAACAGGATACCGCACACAAACTCCTCTGCCCATTCAAATCTGTGTTTCTCAACTGCAGGGCCCTGAAACTCTAACTATTTCGTCATATTTTGCAACCATGGAGCACCACTGCAACTTGCACACACTATTAATATATGAACTGGAGAGCTGTTAGTGTGTTCGCAGCTCACAGTGAATACATCCTTAAGTTTAATGGTGCCACGGTAACAGTTTAACTTAATTAGTTCAACAATAATGTGAACAGAGGAGGCGTGTGTCCTTGTATCTGCAGAGCTCCAGACCGCAACTATTTAGTCACATTTTGTGACCATGGAGCACCAGTGCAACTTCCAAATACTATTAATATATGAACTGGAGAGCTGTTAGTGTGGTTCCAGCTCACAGTGAATAAATCCTCATGTTTAACATTTTGAAACTTGAGCAAATAGGGTTCTTACAAAAACGTGAAGAAGGCAGTGAGCAACGAAAGAAGAAATGACACAAAAAAGGAAAGTTAGGAACAAACAAACAAACAAACAAACAAACAAAGACAAGACCTGGAAAAAGTGCTGAAAAATTACAATTATTATGTAACATAATTTTAAAGAGATAATGATGATATGTTTAAGTATGTTTTTTCCCTAGCTTTTTTTTTTTAATAATAATTTTGTAAATCTATTAATTTTTTTTTTTTGCAATTTGTGGAACTTTTCTCGCTAAGTGGCTCATTGCCTTATTTCCTCATGTTTTTGATGAGGGTTCAACGGTTTGAATACTTGTGAAAGGCATCTGAAAGCGGCACGAGTAAAGCAATATCGCTCCAGGTTTCAAAGGGTTAATGGTGCCACAGCAACAGTTTCACTTACATAGTTCAACAATATTGTGAACAGAGGAAGCGTGTGTCTTTGTATCTGCAGGGCTTCAGACCGTGGCTATTTAGTCACATTTTGTGACCATGGAGCACCAGTGCATCTTCCAAATACTATTACTATGTGAACTGGAGAGCTGTTTGTGTGTTTCCAGCTCACAGTGAGTGAATCCTCATGTTTAACGGTGCCTTGGTAACAGTTTAACTTCATGAGTTTAACAATAGCATGAGCAGAGGAAGCATGTGTCTTTGCATCTGCAGAGCTCCAGACCGCAACTATTTAGTCACATTTTGCGACCAGTGCAACTTTCAAATGCGGTTAATATATGGACTGGAGAGCTGTTAGTGTGGTTCCAGCTCACAGTAAATAAATCCTCATGTTTAACGTTACCTATAACAAAGAATTGTGTGTTTTTGAATCTGTAGGGCTCCAGACAGCTATTATTTAGTCACATTTTGTGACCATGGAGCACCAGTGCATCTTCCAAATATTATTAATATGATTATAATCACAGTGAGTGAATCCTCACATTTAACGGCATCACTGTAAGAGTTTAACTTTGCGTTAACTGCTAACAACAACTGTTGACCAGATGCTTCAAGTTCACAGCAAAAACACCAACACTTTCGGCCTGAGCCAAGCAGGGTGCTTCAAAATAAAAGCACCAGTGGCTACGCTTTGATTCATCTTAATTACTGCGGTACTTTAACTATATCAAGACAGTTGTTGCTTTATTTAACCTAATTGTAAATGTACTTCATTTATAATTTAATATTTTAGTAGTCTACAGTCCTTTAGAGGAGATTTCAAAATATCGAGATATATTGTGTATTGTGAAATAGCCTAAAAATATTGCAGTATTATTTTTTAGCCATATTGGCCAGGCCTACTTGAATTATACCTTGTGCCCCGCAACACAGACAGCCCTCCAAGAAATCTGAGTGAGAAGTAAGTTTTGATGAATGAATTCACAGCGTGCAGGCGCTGAAAATATCCCAACCCAGTTTGGTTAAAATTAGTGGAGCTTCTGTGAGCCTGTCAGCTGTTTACAGCAACACGGCCTTCGTCATTACCATCTATAACTGTGATGAATCCTAAATATAAAGTGTGAATACTGCGCTGAAGTTTTCATAACAACAGAGGGGTGACTTTTATAATGCCAAATATTTTAAAATGTGATTTTCCTATAAAACCAGAACCTTTAGGTTTCCTCAGGTGGTTTAATGTGTGATGAGTCTCTTTCTTTGTCTCTGTAACACAAATAGATTCACCAAAAGTTCTGGAGCGACAAACTCTTTTTTGACTTGTGTTTGCTCTCCGACTGAATCTGAAAGCCACAGAGATTAGAAGCAGAGGAACATACTGACAGTGTACTTTCAAGGTGCATGGAGAAATGAAAAGTCTAAAGAGGTCAAGACTTCAGCAAAATCTGTGGTATAAAGAACTTTTTTTATTTCAGCTTGTGGCCTTCATCAGGGTCGCCACACAAGACATTGATGATTTGTCAGTGGTGGAAATATGATTTAGGACGACCCTGGTCTCACAATAGTTGTTTTTTATACTAAAGGTGTTGCTGGAGTTTTGACCAAGGTTAGCAAGATGAGTTGGTTGTTGTGGTAAAATGGTAAAGCAAGAAAAGTAGTTTAAACCCATCAAAAGTACTTATTTAGCAGTATAGGCGACAGGAAACAGGTTGCTATGGTGGAAACTGGGGAAAAGGTCAGAAAATAAGTCAAAGAAATGATTTTGATTTTGGATATATGGATGCTGCATATTTCTGTCTGACAGGCGTTCTGTTTTTCATGCCCAAACTCAATCTGACCACAACAGAGTTTTCGATCAACGGTTATAGATAATACATATTGGGTCTTCCTAGGGCTGGGCAACATATCGATATTAAATCAATACTAGTCCAATGAGTGCACAGTTGCCCACGCACAGTTTCACATGGTGTGTGTTTGGGATACAGGTCATAGGAAATTGCAGATTAATTAGTCAACTGAGCTCATTAAGAAGAGCAATGTATTCAGACAGAGTTTTTGAAAAACGTGGGACAGACAGAATGACTGACTGACAGAATGACACACTGACAGTTTCCGTGATTATGTACAGCATACCATACCATGACTTAGTCATACCAAACATTAGAAAACAACACCAACATTGGTCCACAGGGGGAGCCACAGCGATCGGTCGCATTTTAGCCATTTTGAAGCATTTTTCTGTTGTTATAGCGCCACCCAGTTGCCAATTAGAGTTAAATTTCTCCAGTCACCTTGAGGCGTCCTGTTCTACATATCTACCAAGTTTAGTAAAAATCCATATGGCGGTTAGGCCTAGATAAGAAATGAGCTCTCTAGC